ACCTATCTCTCAAATGGACCATTGACACTCTATCTACAATCTCATTTAGGAGTGTCAATGGTCCATTTGAGAGATAGGTGGCGATAATGCACTTATAAGTCTGCGATCCGCCGTAAAGCAAGAAGAAGAAGAAGATGCGTCAGGCGCTGGCTGTTGAGCGCACTCAGGACAGTTCGGACATTGCGGTGAAAATCAGAGGTAAAAAACAATATAAATACTGTTCAGTTTCTTGCACAGACCGATCATTTTGTGTCTTTACACATCAATGTATCGTCACGAGCCGCAGGGTTTAATTTGGTTTTGTTTGTGTATGTTTTTTTTACTCTCAAAGCCGTGATTCCTGTTCACTTCCATTATATGATTGACAGACTGCAACGGTTTGAGTTAAAAATCTTTGTTTGTGTTCTACTGAAGAAACAAAGTCACCTACATCTTGGATGCCCTGGGGGTAAGCAGATAAACATCACATTTACATTTTTGGGTGAACTATCCCTTTACGTCTTTGCCAGTTGTTGATTTAACATGACACACTTTGATGAAACGCTCCGTTATTTGCATGTCATGGAGAACACATCAGTAGTTTCATCCAAAATAATTGAAAATATATTGGCCTCATTAATCTCTTTCAGAATTACATTCCTCACTTGTGTTCCAAAAGATCGTATAACATAATTTTGGGTCCTGTTGGATAAACGTGTCACCTGTGGCTTCTTCTTTTAGGACTGAGTGATCTGTATACACTCAAGAAGCATTCTGAGGACACTGTCATATTTCGCTAAGAGGTGCACAAGCTCAAGGAAGTTTGAACTGGTGCTACTTTCATCATGTCCCCTAAACCCAAGTCCTTGTCTTGCCAAATATACTGTGATGTCTATTATAAACAAAATAATATTTCTCTGTTTTTCTGTCTTTCTTTTTCATTTTGTAACTCGCATTCTGCAGCCTGAGCTTTAAAAGCTTCAACTAAAGGCCCTTTTCTATAGTTGGCCCACCTCACTATACTGATTATGGGCTTCAGCTCATGAATCTTTTCAACAGCCTTCTTCCAGTTGACAACACCAGTTGTTCTCCACGCTCTCCTGGCTTTAAACTTTTCTTCTGTCAAAAAGAGACGACAATTAAAGCAGTACATTTAATCATTTTCCACAGAATACTCCAGCCAGTTGTTACCAGCATACCACTGGCTCTGAAAAGACCATCCTTGTGGATGTTTTGGAAAGCCAGCTACTGGTTGACATGGCCCAAGAGAGCAGCAGAACTGTATGTAGTTCCTATTCACCTTTATTTTAAGCTAATCAACATGAGCTGGTTCTGTTGGAAACTGAAGGGCCATCAAGTATGGATCAATGTCTGGTGCTTTTATACCCTGAACCTGGTATTCAATATCTGCTTCTGTAGCTCCTTCCTCTGTCATCTCTCTATCCTTTTCTTGAATCATCTCTTCCTCACTGGGCCTAATGTCTCCTTGTATTTTCTCAATTATATCTCACTTTCTTCCTAATTGGCGCTATCCTTCATCTTTCTTTCTTGTCTCAAATGCTTTCACTTGAATCTCTTCAATACTCTCCGTATCTGAACTGCAACTCTCTATGAAAAAACAATTTCATTATTTTTATATTAAAGTGATGGTTTGCCCCAAAATTAACATTCTTTCTTCTGTGGAACATAAATTTGATTACATATTAATTTTGTCTATATAATGGCATCCCCATTTCTGTTCATTTTGTTCCCCACTGGCTTTCAATAACAAAACAATTCTTAAAAATATTACAAAGAAGAAAGTCATACAGGTTTGGAACTGCATACAGGTGAGTAAATGACGATAGAATTATCAATTTTTGTGAATTTTTCCTTTAACAAAAACTTCTTATTGTGTTCACTATTTTCAGTGTTGGGGAGTTACTAGTTGCATGTGTAAGGTCCGCGCACCTGGTCCAAGCAAAGTATCCAGTGGCGGATGAAGGTCTCTTGCGTGTTCGGTCTTTTCAGCGCGCAGAGTTATTCAATTTAGGTTTAACTCAATCTGACTCCATTTTAGTATCTGAATTCTAATTTAGGTTGAAAGGCACATTGGTTGTTTGTCGGTCTCTGATTATTCTTACATTCGATTATTCTAATTAACTCTTTACTTTGTATTTTTTTCTCGTTCATTAGGAATCTATGTCGCTTAGGATGCCTCACGGCGGCCGCTATGCGTGGGCTCCACGATCACAAAACTCGCCAGTTTGATCCTTATTCAGAGGTTTATGGCTAATACTATTTACTTTAAATAGTAGGTTTGTTTAGCCCCCTACAATTACCCATGTAATGCTCAAACAATAATCAGCGGTTCTTCTAGACCCTTAGTCTAGACCCCAATAGTTATTATAACTACGTACAACTTAATTAACACTTCAAATATTAATCAGCGGTTCTTCTAGACCACCTTTGTCTAGACCCCGACAGCTAATCTAGCTTCGTACAACTTAATTAATTCTGAAATCATATACATGGTTACCGTAACTGAGTACAACTTAAACTAAGGTCAAGCGGTTAGTCAGAAACCCATAATCTCACCTGATGTGCCCATGCTCCATCTAACCTGAGAT